CCGCCCGGCGTGTTTTGTTTTTTTAACTGACAAATCTATTGCCTCTATTGTATCCTCTACACCAAAGTTTCTCTCTTCCATCTCTTGTATTCTGTTGGTTATGCTTGCATCTGTGTTTCCTATTTGTTTACTCAGATTTTCTATTTCCAGCATTCCCTCTGGTTGTGTCTTCTTCATTGTTTCTATTTCACTTGTCAGGTCTTAAACTGTTTCCCTCACATGTTTAATTGCTTTTTCATGGTTTTCTTGGCTTTCTTTAAGGTATTCATTGCTTTCTTTCAATTTTTTATTTGTTTTTCCTCAATTTCTTTAACGGAATTTTTCATTTTTTCTTGAAAGGCCTCTAGCATCTTCATGATGCTGTTCTTAAGGTTGCTTTCTTCTGCTTCTTCTACATTGTGATGTTCAGGTCTTGCTGTTGGAGCAGGGCTAGGTTCTGGTGATGTCATATTGCTCTTCATATTGTGTGTATTTTTGTATTGACATCTGCCCATCTCCTCCTCTAATAGGTGCAAGAGGTGCCTGTGTCTGAGAGAGTTGCTATTGTTCCACTCTGTGTTTGTTGTGTCTGTATCTCAGGGGCCTCTCTGGATTCAGTCTTAGCTCTTGATCTAATTGGAGCTGGCAGATTCTGTATCTCAGGGAGGTGCTCTTGGCCTAATCCAAGCTAGTTGGTTCTGTGACTCACGGAGCTACTCCTGCTCTTATCAGGGCTCTTGGTCCAGTCAGAGCTGGCAGATTCTGTGTCTCAGGAAGTTACTCTTGGTCCAATGAGAGCTCTTGGTCCAATGAGAGCTGGCAGTTTGGTTTCCCTGTCTTAGGAAGTTACTCTTGGTTCAATGAGAGCTGGCAATTTGGTTTCCATCTCTCAGGAAGTTACTGGGGTCACAGGCAGATGGGTATTGGGACAGGGCATGGAACTTGTAGATTGCAGGGTCCAATGGGGGGTTTTGGTGGGGGGATCCTTCCTGCAGGAATTTTCCCTGCTGGCCAGCAACTGGGGCAGAGTTGGGTGGAGGTTTCTGGGGACTGGCTGTGTCCCAGGGCCTGAGTCCTAGGGGCAGCTATTTTTTTAACTGCAGTGCCTTTGTTAGAGCTATTAGCTCGGCCCTTTGCGCTGATGTTTTAGGAGATAGGATCTTTGTTTATATAATTTTTTTTTTAGTTGGAACAACTGCCTTTGCATACCTGACACCATTTTTGATGAAACTACTGCCATTTGTATACCATGTTACCTTAGCCCTTGATAAAGGGACGTTCTTGAGGTCTGGTCTGGTCCTGTGGAGATGATGGCTTAGGATGTTCAGACAATTGTGGAGAAGCCTGTCTGGGTCTGGGTCCGGGAGCAGGGTGGCAGGGTTTAAGGTACTGCTGAGGGTGTATTGGATCTTGGGTGGGTTTAGGAGCAAAGCTTGGTAATGAGTTAGCCAAGCATTAGAAAGCCATTTATTAGGAGGGTGTTTAAGGATGCCCTTGATAGCATGGGGGTGGTTATTTTAAGAGTTTGCCTAAAGGTTAGTTTATTTGAGTTTTTGATTAATAAAGCTGTTACTGCAATTATGCAGAGGCAATGAAGCCATCCAGCAGCCACTGGGTCAAGCTTTTTGGACAAGTAGGCTACTGGCCTTTTTTATAGACCTAGAGATTGCATTAATACCCCCTTGGCCACTTTTTTTTTTAAATATTTATAGGTGAAAAGGTTTGGTGACATCTGGTAGTGCCAAAGCAGGTGCATTCAGTAGAGCTGCCTTAATTTTATTGAAGACCTTTTTTATTTATGGGGTTTAATTAAGGGGAGTCTTTTTTGTGACCTCATACAAAGGCCAAGCTAATTTAGCAAACCCAGGGGTCCAGAGACTACAGAACCCAGCAGATCCCAGGAACTTCTTTACCTTTTGGCAGTTACTGGGTTTGGAGATTTTTAGGATTGTTTTTTTGCTTTGGACAGCCATTTTTGCCTCCCCCCCCCCCAGTATGTAATCCAGGTAAGTTACCTTAGTTTGGCAGAGTTGAGACTCTTTTGCTGATACATGATATCCCAGGTTTTTTTTAAGTTTTAAGTAGCCCCTTAGTGGTGGCCTTGCAGACTTTTAAAGTATTAGCTGCTATTAGGAGGTTATTTACATACTGTAATAAGCTGATGTTGGGGTAGACTTGTTGGTACTTACCCACATTTTTGTAGAGTGCCTTATTAAAGATGGTAGGAGAGTTTTTGAAGCCCTGGGGCAGTTGTGTTTAAGTCAGATGTTTATTGAATCCGTCCTTGGGATTCATTTATTTGAAAGCAAATATAGGCTGACTGATGGCATCCAGTGGCAGGCTGAAGAAGGCATCCTTCAGGTTTAACACAATGTAAATGACCTATTCTGGGGGCAAAACACTTAGAAGGGTGTAGGGGTTGGGGACCATTGTACGAATGTTTATTTACCCTTTTATTAATTTTTCGGAGGTTTTGCACTGGTCTGTAGTTATTGGAATTGGGCTTTTTACCTGGCAGCAGAGGCATATTTCAGGCTGACAGGCAAGGGACTAAAATACCCAGGTCTTTGAAGTGCTTAATATAGGGGGTGATTTTTTGCTTGGCCTTTTTGAGCATTGGATACTGTTTAATATGTGTTGGCACTGGCCCAGCTTTTAGCTGTACTAGAATGTGGGGGGGCAGTGTGCTGCCAACCCAGATTCTTCAGTTTTTGCCCATGCCTGGGGAATTTTTTGAGCCAATTTTGGAGTAGGTTTTTATTGTTTGTTTGTTTGTTTGATTGGTTGGTTGGTTGTTATTTTGTTTTTTTTGTTTTTGCTTTGGGGGGCCCACAAACAAGTTATATTTATTTACAAGTTATATGGTGAGCACATGCAGTGCTTTTTTTTTCTTAGTTACTAATTTTTTGGTCTGGTTAAAATGGATGTGGGCCCCCATTTTAGTCAGTAAGTTTTTTTTTTTTTTTTTTTTTTTTTTAACAGTGGGTATAAGCATTCAGGGATGACCATGAAAGAGTGAGTTACCTGGGTTTTTTTTTTTTATGTTTACTGATTTTTAAGTAGTTCATGAATATCAGTTTATTTTTGTGGCTCCTTGCACCCAGGATTGTTTCTGTGACATTCTGCCTAGAGGTTGTTTTAAAATGGAGTGTTGTGCTCCTGTATTCACCAGAAAATTCATGGGTTTTTTGTTTGTTTTTTGTTTTGTTTTGTTTATCTTTAGGGTTACTTAAGCCTTGGGGAGGGGCTTCGAACCCCATCCCCTTTAATTACTTATTTTTTTCAATTTTAGTACTTTTGTTTTGAGCCCTGTTGTACATACGGGGCATTTACTTTTTTAGTGACCCAACTTTTTACAG